TAAACACATCAAATCACATGTTATTAATCTATTAATCTAAATTAGTTAATCCATTATTCAAGCCTAACCCACATTCTCTCTCCTCTCAAAACCACATCTACCACCAACACCACCACCACGTTGTCTCTCTCTTCCCTTTCAGCCACCACCACCACCACCACTTTTCTCTCTCTTCTTTTGGATCTCACACCCACCACACCACAACCACGCACCACTCTATTTGATCGCCGCCCCTTTTCCCCGATAAGTTCACCGCCACTTTCTCCTCCCCTCAACAGAGCCGCCGCTTTCTCCTCCCCTCGTCAGAGCCGCTGCCACCTTTTCTACCCTTCTCAAAGTCGCTCAGAAAAAAGGATCGTGCGTGCTGGGTAATTGATTAGGAAAAAGGAGAATTTGGGTAAGCTTGAAATCTCATATCTAAAGCAAATTTGGTGAAAGATGGATCAATTGTGAAAGATCGTGGTGGGTAAGATAGGTGAGGGTGGTGGTGGGGTTCCATGATTTCTCTCAGGTGGTGGGTTTTGGCGATTTCGCTCAAGTGGTGGGGTTCCACGATTTCGATCAGGTGGCGGATTTTACAATTTCGTGGTTGATGCGAGTTGTCTGGAGTGGGTTTTGGGTGGTTATGGTGATGAGACGGGATGAGGTGGTGGTGTGATGGTGACTATGGGATGAGGTGGTGGTGGTTTTGGGGTGTGGGTAGATGTGGGTGGTGGGTGTGGTGGATGTTGTTGCTGGTGGGTGGTAGTGGTGGTTGATTAATTTTCCCCCTTTATCTCTCCTACCCTTAATCACAAAGTCTTTACTTTGTTAATCACCTATTAACAAATTTTGTCTTGGGAAACGTGCAACAAGGTTTATTGCACATAATGTGTAACGGAGGAAGTATATTTAATTCTTATGTATATACTCTCTTCATCCCCAAAAATTCGACTCTTTTGGCCTAATTTTAGTCTCAAAATGATCGATCTATTTGCATTGAAATGCCCACCAATTTACAACAATATTTGTGCAAAATTAGGTTGCCTATATAAAATTTTGTTTTTTCATATACTTTAATACTTTCTCTCTCAAATTTTTTACAAACCCCATGTAAATTTATCTTTCCAATATACTTTTACTTCTTTTTTATTTAACTTTCTTAATACGCGCGAAATCAACTCAAAAAATTCATTCTTTCGGGGATGGAGGGAGTAGCTCTAAGGGCTATTTAAAGTTTTGTATCAACTTCTTTATGTAAGTATGAGTACTCCCTCCGTCCCTTTTTTACATTCTTGTTTGTAAAATTACACGGGAATTAAGGAACTATGAATAAAACAAATAACAATAAAATAAAACACAATGGGAAGTACAAAACATTAAATGATTTCTTTGAGTAAAACAAAGATAGATTAATATTTAATGATGCCATGTCATCAATCCTTTGCAAAAAAAAATCAATAACATGTTCCTATTGGAAAATTAAGAACCAATCATATTCATCTAATTTATGCACAAGGATTCTGAATTTTTTAAGGGGGGAAAATATGAGTGAGAATAGAAAAATAAGAGAGAGCATTAATTACAAAACAGAAAAAGATGGATAATTTGAGATATTTGGAAAAAAAATATCTGTACTTATTAAAAAAGAAAAAAGAGGAATGTAATTTTGGAATACTCAAAAATAAAAGCAAGAATATAAAAAAGGGACGAAGAGAGTAGTATTTAAAAACATTTTTTTAGAAATGCGAGTTTACAATGATTCCAACCTAATAGTCGGTTCGTGGAGGCGGATGCACGATCTACATGGTGCATCCGCTCCAAAATACAAAAAGGCGGAATGAACATTCAGATATATACTAATGAACATGGTCATATAAAAGAACATAGTAGTCATTTATAATGTACATGGACATATAAATAAAAGAACATAGTGTTCATTTGTAATGTACATCAGTTTTTTATGCAACAATTATGTATATAAATTTTTTTTAAAAGAAATTTTGTATAATGAAATAGATAAATAGTACTATAATTAATTTTTTTTACCATACATTAATTACAAATCATTTCAATTTTTTTTATACCAAAAGTTCACTTTCTCTCTCCAAACAAAACTTCAAACCCATTTATTCAAAATTTTGAGCCCAAAATTGTTCAAGATGACAAATAAAAATGAAAGGTAAGACCAAATTCGATATTTATACTTGTTTATTTGACATTCATACTTGTTTATTTTGAGTTTGAGTGTTTGTTTTTTATAAATTTGATTGAAAATTGTAATATTTGATTTTATTGAAAATTAATTGCGATTTTGATATAATTTTGTTGTTGCAATGAGAAATAAAATGAAATTCTTGAATAAGATCAACCGATTAATATATTTTGGAAGAAGAAAGCAAGCAAATAGACAAATTTAGAAAAAGTTGTAGATCCAAATAATACAATGTACATTAAAATACAGTAAAATGTTCTTTTTCATATACTTATATGATGCAAATAATACAATGTACATAAAACATGTAACCAACATTATAACATATATGTTCAGAGTAAAGCACAAATACAGTCCCTAAACTTTTGTATTTGTGCACTTTTGGTCCCTCAACTTTTGTATGTGCATTTTTGGTCCCTCAACCACCATATTTGGTGTTTCTGACCAAAAGTTTAGGGACCTTGCTTAGTCAGCAAAAGTTTAGGGACCATGAGTTAGCAAATTTTTTTTTTCCTTTTTTTTCCAGATATTTTTGTTAAAAATATTATTTAATTGTGAATTGGCAGTAGTCATGATGAAGAAAAGTTAAGGGACTTAAAGAAGCCACGTGGCCCAATTGAATTCCTGTTAATCAAAACTCAGCGTTTCGATTTCTATTCCCTATGCAAATTCATCCTTTGGCGGGATAAAAGCTTCTGTATATATTCTAGAAGAGGTGAAGGGTCATTCATCTTCATCTCAAACAGTAGTAAAAAAATACGAGCTCCATTGGTATGTCTGGGTGGGAATTTGGAGAATCATCGTCGCATAAGAAAGCAAAACTCGAGTTTTGACATCAGCTAGAGGTTAGTTCATCCCCTATTTCAATTTCTTTTTGTAATATGAAACATACCCTGTTTGTGTGTTCGTAAGCGAGTGAGGGTTTGATGAAAATGATGAAAATTTTGAATTTTTTTGTGTTGATCTACTTAAATTATGCTTCACTTTGTTATTATCTGTAATCGCATGAAATTAGTTGTTGTTTTGTATGATTTTTGTTGAGTTAGGGTTTTACAGTAAAGATTAGGGTTTTTTATTCTCTGTATTTTAATGTGATCACATAAAATGGCCAATCTAATAGACGTGTTCACCTAATAACCTAGGTATGGAGGATTTGGAAGATGCTCACCCACTGATGGCAACCCAGGATGTGCTTGTGCTGCATGTGTTCCCCAAACTCCATTGGGTGGACCAGATCAGTGTTGAGAGGGTATGCTGGAAGTGGCGGCTGTGGTGGACCCTAAGGCACATTGCACCCTACCTCCCATACCGCATTCACCATAGGAATGAGTTCAGGGATTGGGTTCTGAATGACATTCTCTACAACTTTGGGAGGGACTTCTTTGCGTGGATTGAGAAGGACATGACAGAGTACTTCGATGGCTTTCCACTTCTATTCAAGGAGGATTAGAAGGTTGTAGGTGGGGTGGTGGGGTGGTAGGGTGGGTAGTTTTTTGCTTATAGTATCAGCTGGTTTTTGTGCTGTTAATAGATGGTTTAGGTAGTCTTTTAACATTGTCATAGCTTAATGTATGTATGTAGGTTGAATGTGACATTCATGATGGTTTTTTTTTGGGTATGTCACTGCTATGACATTGTATGATCTAACTTAATCAGATTAGGCTTCATTTAGTGATCTAGGATGATGCAGTTGTATCTAATTCAATGAAGCCTAATGTAGGATATTTTGTAATGACAATTATGATGATTATATTAATGAAAATGAATGCTTTTATTCTGTTTACTTAAACCTTAATCTATTTTGCATTTAGCTTTAATTGTATGTTTGGTTTAATTGATGACATTCATGTTCATGTGTGTGATCACATGGTACTAAAGAAAGTTGTGTACTTAGTTGAATTGCCATTGCTAAAAGCTGTCCATTCTTTTGTTAGATTATGGAATTAAAATCTTGCTTGATTATACATCATGGTGGTCAGTGGCAAATTTGATGTGAATCATTTTACTTGGGGGGAAAAATAAATGCGTTTGAGGATATACCTACAACTGTGGATGCTGACTATGTCAAGAAGTTAATAGATGGTCTGGGATATGATGATATTGTTAAGGTCCATTTCTTAGATCCTAGGAAAGAGTTTAACTCAGGGATTAGGTACCTAGGTTTTGACAAATATATATGTGATCCTTTCTTGAGTTTACTTCTACAATACAAGGTCATTCACATATATACAGAGCATCAGGAACATATCAATCCTTTATTTCAGAATTTAGGGAGAAGGGGTAGTTTTATGAGTTTGTTAACAACAGACATTGGGGAAGATGATGAGCATGCTGAGAGGTCAAGTGAAGGAGTGAATTTGCATGAACAGGAGAATATTCCTAGGCATGACCAAGCTGATATAGATTATGACACTGAAGGGACTGATGTGGATGATGAGGAGTGTGTGCAAGCAAGGTGTGAGATAGCCAATGACAAAAAAAATGTGGTTTCTTATGAGGATGAGTTGGAGATGTTGAGAAAGGTAGCTGCATTTAAGGGTTTGGGAGAAATTGGGAGTGACTTTGAAGGGTTTGATGAGCTAGATAGCCCTGATGAAGATGATGATGACAGTGACTGTGGTTTTTTTAGTTGCTCCACCTTCCAACAAATATGTTAAGTCAAGTGTTAAGATCTTGGAAAGTGAAAAACCCCAATCCCAAGTCTTTTCCTGGGAAGAAATTTGATAACCCATCCACTTTTAAACAGGCCATCAGAAATCATTCCATTGAACAAGGCAGAAACATACCTTTTCATAAGAATGATAAAATGAGGGTAGGGGCAGTTTGTGAGCACAAGGACAAAGGATGTCCATGGAGAATTTTGGCCTCTTGGGATAAAAATAAAACAAAGTTTTGTGTCAAATCTTATGTTGGTGAACATACTTGTGGAAGATCCTCTAAGGTAAAGAAAATGTCAGCCTCTTGGATTGCAAAGCAGTATAACACACAGTTCAAAGTCAACCCTTACATGAGGTTACATGATCTCATGGAGACTGTATGGTTAGATTGGGGAATTAGGATCAGTAGGTACTTGGCTCATAGGGCTAGGAGAATAGGGCAATCTCTTATTGTGGATGAGTACAAGGAGCAATATGGATTGCTACCTAGGTATGCAGCTGAGATTTTAAGAAGCAATAGGGGAAATACAGTGAAGCTAAAGTTAAATGGGACAGTTTTTGACAGGATATACATTTTTTTTAGGCTTTGAGGAAAGGATTTTTAGGTGGATACAGGCCTTTTATATCACTTGATGGGTGCTTTTTGAAGGGTCCTTATGGGGGGCAATTATTGGTTGCAGTAGGTAGCGATGGGAACAACCAAATGTTCCCCTTAGCATGGGCTGTAGTAGGTGTTGAAAGCACTGAAACTTTGAGTTGGTTCTTACACCTACTTGCTGCTGATTTGGGAACAGAAGAAGGGGCAGGCTATAAATTTATGTTAGATCAACAAAAGGGCTTGCTTGCTGCAATTGCAGAGGTTTTTCCACAGGCTGAGAGCAGGGTATGTTCAAGACATGTGTATTACAACTTTAGGGGTGTGTTTGGTGGTAGCTTGGAGTTTAGGAAGCAATTTTGGATAATTGCAAAGTCCATAACTGAGAATGATTTTCTGGCTAAATTACAAGTAATGAGGGACCTCTCAAATGATGCTGCTGAGGATTTGTTGAAAAGAAATTATAAGAAATGGTGTAGGGCATTCTACACACCTATGTCTTGTTGTGACAATGTAGACAACAATATGAGTGAAGTTTTTAATGCATATATATTGAAATGGAGACATAAGCCTATCATCAACATGTTAGAAGACATTAGAGAGAGCTTAATGGACAAATTACACAAGAAAAGGGACATGATCAAGGAAAGGGATCTCAGTTTATGTCCTAGAATCCAACAACAACTTGAGAAGCATAATATGGGCAAGGGGTTGGAATGCATTCTGGGATAGAGGTTTTTGCTATGGAGTGAGGGATGGGGCAACTCAAACTAAGTATGTTGTTAATCTGTCAGACAGAACATGCTCCTGTAATGCATGGCAAGTTAGTGGGATACCATGCAAACATGCTGTGGTGGCCATTTGGAACAAAGTGGACCAACCAGAGCAATATGTGAATGATTTTTTCAAAAAGCACACATATGCCAAGGCTTTTGATCACCTACTTGAGCCTCTAAATGGTCCACAAGAATGGCTTACTTCAGAGAATATTGTGACTGCTCCAGAGCTGAAAAAGGTGCATAACAGACCTAAGACAAAGAGAAGGGCCTCTGCTGGTGAAGTTACTGAGTCTGGGAAGCTAAAGAAGAAAGGAGGCAAAATAACATGCAGCTTGTGTGGGGTTCCAGGCCACAACAAAGCATTATGTAGAAATGCACAAAGGGATAGCTTCAACAGTACTAACACAGCTTCTGCCCACACAATTGAACCTACTGAAGCTACTCTTACAGTCCCAATGCACAACAGAGATGTGGGTGTATACACCTATCCTAATGGTTATCAAAGACAAACAACTGTAAGTTTTTGTTATTGCCTTAAGTTGATTTCTGTTTATGCATTATATTACTCTAATTAATTAATTTTCATGTCACTTGTTTCAGCCAATTAATCAACCAAATCCAACAACTTTTAGAAGAGGAGCTGCATTTTACTCTAATTATGCAAGGGAGCAGACCATATATTCCTTCTCTCAGGAATATACTATGTCATAAACACAACCAGAAGCACCATCTTGATCATCACAAACAATAACAACACCAGCTAGGATAAAGCAAGTTCAAAATAGAAACAAGAGAAAATGAGGTAACCTCATTTCTTTTTATTTATAATTTCATAATAATAACAGTCATTAGTAAAACAATTACATTTAGATAGCCTACTTCCTAATAACAAACCAAGCAAGTACACATGTAGCAAGTGCAAAAATAACCCACAATTCACACTTAAAACATATTAAAACCCTTGATTTTTTCATTTTCAACATAGCACAATCTGACTTCAACTTTCTTGCAACTGTATTTGCTTCAGTAACCCTCTTCTTCAGCTCTTGCACTTCATTACACAACATCTTTTTGTCTTCAAGTAGCCCTAAGATGACTTGCCTCTGCCATTTTGTCTGATCTTCATCATCAGTCCAATTAAAATACTTGCAGCCTCTTCTGTTGGTCTCAGCATCATAGTCTGGGCATGCTACAAATCTCCTGCCTGGATTATCTTTAGTCCAGGACCTTGTTCTTGTTAGAGGTAAGCCACAGTGACACCTCCTTCCATTACCACTAGAACCTCTACTATAAGAAGACATCCTACTGTAGACACCAATTTGTGTCTCCCCAAAACCAAACCCAATGATGAGTACCTTTCACGTCGAATCATAATCGAATGAAACGAAAGTGTGGAAAGGTCTAGTGTTGCGGAAAGTTTTATTTTCTTTTCTCTTCTCTCTGTTTTTGAAAACTTATTTTAAGAAAACAGCCAATCCAGTTTGGTTGGTCCATGATATGAGTCCAATAGTGGTGTAGTTGGATGGGGCTTTCAAAGACCTTTCCAACGATATATTATAAGCCCAATTCCGATGAATATTGAGGAAATTATGGTTAATTTACTAAACTGGGCCCGGTTTGAGCTTTATGTACGGCCCAATGATCTTGGGGAGGGTCTAATATGATTTATCATTCCTAATGAAATTAGGAATGGTTTTAGTCTTCTAGATTCTTCTAGAAGATTCTTTTCATTCCTAATTCAATTAGCATTGATAAATTGACTTTAGTTGACTTTTCAGAGTTTTAATCAAAACCAAATAGCATTTTTGAGGAAATTATATTATTTTATCCTCCAGTACGGTAAACTTATCGGATTTTCGAAAACGCGTTGGAATCAGTCTTGGCGCCTAACCCCAGGCCTTGGCGCCTGGAACCAGGCCTGGCGCCTGGCGCTAGTGTTGGTGCCTGGCGCCAGCTAGCCAGGGTTGGAGTCAGCTCTGTTTCCTAAGCGTCAGACTCTGTTTTGTTAATTTATCCTTTTTGGATGATTTTCTCTATAAATATCGTATTCAAAACTCCGTTTTCGATCACCAATTAAAATCATCTACATCCATCATTCATCAACAATCATTAATTCTTTAGCATTCTCTAAATCATTCATCTTTCTTACATTCAATTCTTTCTTTTCTTCCTTTGCTTTTTCATACAAAATTCCGCATTCACAAGATCTAGAAACACCTAGCCATATTCGAAGTTGCCTTCGTCCTAGACGTGAAAGGTTTTAATTTCTGAGGGTTTGGTCCCAAATCTCTCTTTCAATTATTTAATTTAATTGTTGATTATTATTTTCCTTGAAGTTACTAATGTGTGTATTTTGTTATTAGAAAGAGGTGCGAGGCATCAAAGTAAGTATTTTAATTGGTTTTAATTGATATTATGATGTAGAGATCATGTTTTATATTGTTATTATGATATTCCTAGTATCATGTCTAGGGTAATTTTTAATATTAAATATGATTGCTATGATGCTTTTTATTTTCTTCCTAATACTTATGATTGTTAGTATCATGTTAGGATTAAAGATTTGATTTTTATTGCTTAGTGACATGCTAGGGTTTGTTATTAATCTTGTTAGTATCATGCCTAGGACCTTGCTATTATTATGCTTTAATATTAACATGAACATGATTATGATTATAATTGTTATAATTTATGATGATTATGATTATTGGTTATTTGTTATGTTGCTTGATATTTATTGTTATTGCTTGATCACACCTTTTATTACATGTTTAAAGGGAATTGGTACTTGTAATCACGCTTAATAAGATAATTAATAATCTTGTTAGGGTTAATTTGATTATAATTTCAAGTGATCGCCAATAATAGATTTATTTGTGCATAATATTCAACCAACATAGATTAAACAGGTTTAGGGTTAATCCTATTTATTGCATGTTAGTCAAAAAGCGCACATGAATACGATCAGAATAAAGTAGAGGCCTATTATTAGGGCAGGTTCAATCTCTTTTAGGTTGGATTTGTACCTTCATCCCCGAACCCTTATTTGGTTCATGACCTTATGGAGTTTACGATCTCTTGGATCGTTAAGGAGTGTAACCTTCACCTCGTGAACGGTTTACAAGTTCCTAAAAAACTTGTTGGCGACTCTTTTGCTCTATCTTTTCCCTTTGGGACGCCACCGTACTTTAGTGTATGATCACAGAGGGGTTCGAGCTAGTGGGATTTTAAAGGCTTGAAATTATTCCCTACAGTTTTTGGCGACTCCGCTGGGGAAGATTTCTATCTTTATTCCTGAATTTGTTTCGCCAATGATTTAGAATGAGTGGATGAGACTCGAAAAGTTCTAAGTATTTCTTGTGCGTAATTTTGATTAACATTATTGTCATATGAATAAAAAATATCTCATTGGAAAGACCATCCGTAATGAGTTAAAAACATAGGATTTTACACGTAGGAAATTTGAGGAATGTCTTTCACAACTAGGACTGAAAAAACACCGCGTTAAACTGGAAAATTTTATCGAGCACAGAAAGCTACTGAGGCAGTGGGAAGTAGCGTCAGGGGCCAGAGCTTGGTGCCAGACTTTTAGCCGTAGCGCCAGACGCCAGTATTGGCGCCAGGTGCTACAGTTAAAAGCTGGCGCTAGTCTCTGATTGTTGGCGCCAATTTCCCCCAATACCGAGCCAGAAATATGCGTTCTAATTTCGACCGGTTTTTCGTATTGTTTGCTCGATCCTACTTCCTGATTGAATTTTTTCTCACTTTTCTGAAACTCATATGTGTTCTACATATGGACATAACTCTCTGGGAATTTATGCTCCATCTACCTGATTGAATGCTCCGTGCAACAAAGGGTACATCCGAGATGTTGAATTCACCAAACCATGGAAGCGAGTTTTTTCTAAAACTCGCGGTGTCCCATCCACTCGCGCCAACCCTTCACGGTTAGGCTTCCGCGCGGTGCATCCGGACAATTAACCATGGACCCTCTTTGACTAAGCCATATCCCGAACTTTAGACAACTAGAGCCATGGTTAGGTTGCGAACGCATTGCATCATATTGTGCCTACTTGACTAATTGTGCATTATTTATTGTGCATATATATTCTATGTTTCTCTTAACCGTTTGTTGACTTGTGTTGAGATTAAATAAATTAACGACTTAAAGAACTTTTCCTAATTAATTAATTAATTATTTAATTTGAGTCAATAAAGTCTAATATTTTAATCGGAATTGACCTAGTACGACTTTAGGCATACCTCTGTTGACTAATAACACCGAAAACAGTCCCAGACCGAAGCTCCAATATTGGCGCCAAGGTTTGAGCTGTCGCGCCACACGATGGAGTGTAGCGCCTGACGACAGCTATGTTGTCTGGCGCCAAGCTCCACAGTGTGACGCCAGTCTTGTCGCTTGGCCGACAGTTCGGATTATTTGTCGAGTCATCACCTAGAGTCTAATTAATCAGTTTTCTGTTTAATTCGGTTAATTTTGCTGTCAATAATGTTTAATTGAATCAATGATCGAGTTTAGGCACTAAGTCCCATGGTCTTGCACAAGAGTCCAAGCATGTCACTTACACTCAACGCACACACCAATACACATACTTTGACCATGATTAAGTGAGTCTTGTGTGCGTGTTTTTCCGTCATTTTTTTAGGGGGGTAAGTCGAATATTAATCCTCCAATAAAAATAATAATACTTAATTCCCTAAAAATATGTACATTATTTTTGCCAAAAATATGCACCCTTTTTTCTTTTTCTTTTTTTTCTTAAAATAAACCATAAAGTCAAGATGATTCGAGTCAAGTAATTAAAACGCAAAATGGTTTAATTTACAGCGCGTGGTCAAGAAAGGAAGGACGATTAATCAAAGATAACCTCTTCGTACAAGTCTAACTTTTCGACAAACCTATAGCTCGCAAGAGAAAAGCTAGGGTTATAATGGCAACTCAAGAAGAAGTCAATGATCTTAAGAACCAACTGGCTACTGTGACTGAGACACTGAAGCTTCTCGCACTTAGGATCGACGATCCCGTGAAGCAACAACAAATGGACCTTGTGCAAGAGAGCCTAAGCAAGTTGTCCAGCGACTACAAGTTTCAAGAGCTTACATCACAAGGGGTCTCGGTGGACAAGGATCTTCTTCCGGAAGTTCAACGCCAACGACATCCCAAAATTCAGAGCAATTGACAACCCTTACTTCCATTTAAGAGCATTTGAAACCATAATGAGTATCAAGGGTATCGATAAGAAAGTCTTCCCTTCTCTGTTCTCGCTATCTCTCGAGACCGTTTGCCAACAATGGTTCTTTTCTCGAGAAATAAAAGACCTCTACCTGGGAGTCTATAGCAAATGCTTTCGTTGATAGGTACAAGTGCAACATTCAAGTCGAGACTGACCATAGAGAACTTGAAATCCTCAAACAAAAAGAGAATGAAGGCTTCACTTCTTTCTTTAATAAGTGGAGAGAAACCTCAGCTAAGATGATCGAGGTGCCGAGTGAAAAAGAATCTGTAAGGTTATTCATAAAAAACCTTCAAGAAAAGTACTCCAAGATTCTTAAGTATCAAAACAATCTCCATACCTTCAAGGTCGTCTACGACATTGGAATTAACATTGAAGACGACCTGGCTAAGTTGAAAGCTGCCAACAATAACTCCAACAGTGGCTGGAAAGGAAAGAAGAACGACAATCCTTCTTCTT